CGAGTACCGGTACTTGTGGGGTCCCTCAAAGTGAATTTTATTCAATCGGCTGATGGTTTTAGTTGAGAAGCTCTGACAGTGTACTGTACTCGGCACAGGTCTAAATTGATAATTCTAGGGCCTTAGAGGTTTACCATACCAGTTCTTCTTTTACAGAATGATAAAAATATTATCAAAATAGAGGGTTTGCACCCGACGACCTGGGTGCCGGTTAAAGCAAAAGCGACCTAGGTGCCAGAATGAGTTTGCGCATAGTGTCCAGGTGACCTGGAATATGTGTTACGTCAAATTAGCATAATGGTTGTGTAATATATTTGATATAATGAGATTATATTATTATGATGAATAAAAGTGACAAAAAAAACCCATCGACAACAGATGAACAACATATCTCAAGCACAAAACCAGCGGAGCCATGCTTGCACCACAGTTCCTACAGAAAAGACATGCAAGAAGGTTGATTCTTCTACAACAGCTTCATATTGCTGTCTCTAGAGACAATAGTCAGAAAAGAGGTGCTTTACGAGCAGGGAGGAGATTGGATTTGGATACTTTGGATGAGGAAGAGTGGAGAAACCAATTCCGGTATGTATTAGCCTAATCAATTTGTATATAGTCACTTTAATATAATAGTGTATCAAATGTCACAGTAAAACATACTTACAAGTAAAAGGTTTACCCGAAGTGAGGTTGAGGAGTTGGTTGATATCTTGTAACTCCCAAATCCTATAGGAGCGAATAATCAAATTAAAGAGGATCAACGAACAATACTATGTATGCTCCTAGCACGATTAGCATATCCCAATCAACTCTGCGATTTTGCCCTGAAGTTTGGCTGGCTGGTAGAAATAGTATCACGTATTAGTACTACAACTTAATCAATTATCCATGAGAAATGGGGGCACTTACTCATATGGGATGCGGAGCGCTTAACACCAGAACGATTAGTCCTTTATGCCGGTACAGTTGAGCGAAAAGGAGCACTGATTGGAACTGTCTGGGGATTCATTGATGGAACAATTCGTGGTATTGCTGCCCTGTTCAGCACCAGTGTACCTGCTATAACGGCTGGAAGCGGGAATATTGCCTTAAGTATCATGCAATTGTGACTCCTGATGGGCTTATTAGCCACTTGTTTGGCCCGGTGGATGGCCAGCGAAATGATGCATTTTGTGGAAAGTGTCCAACCTGCCAAATCTACTGGAGCAATATGCACGAGCACCAGATGGTACCTGCCTCCAGGTATATGGTGATCTGGCCTATAGTATAAATAGTTTCATTTTATCGCCATATTAAGGAGCAAGAATTACAAACGATCAAAAGCAGTGGAATCGTTCTATGTCACGGCTACGGATTATAGCAGAGTGGGCATTCAAGGAAATGATCAATACTTTTGGTTTCTTAGACTATGTAAAAAACCAAAAACATTTACTTCAACTTGTAGGAGTTCAGTTTTGAGTGGCTGCACTTCTTCATAATGCCCATGTATGTTTACATAAACCTCAAGTTACTCAATATTTTAGTACTGATAGAGGTGATATTGTTTATCCAGATGGGTTTGCGGTAGATCAGCATTTAGAACCACCACTATTATCGGCATATTTTCATAACTAAATTTTTTTATTCTGTATCTAAAATAATGTTCCGTTAGAAATATGTCTAGAAATGGAGTTGTCACTGTCTTGCTATTTAAGTTCACAATAATCGAGGTACTGAATATATTCTACGAACTTTACTAATACTAATCTATTAGTACCTGTATATTCACTTCCATTTAAGAGCAATAAAGAGAGCAACAAACAGAGCAACAAATACATTAAGTAGAGATTGAAATTGTCTAATAAGCAAAAGAGCGAATAGGACTTATAGAGAAATGACAGGAAAAGAATAGCAACATATAGAATTTTTTATAGAGAATTAGAGTAAAAACAATAAGAAAGCACGGAGGAAGATAAAGAAATATAATAAATCCACCACAATCCTGACTCTTCAAACAGGATAGAAATAAATCAAGTATTACAACTAGTATCACAACTAATATCTAACACTTTAGATTTCACCATCCTTCCATAAAGCTTCTAAAATCATAGCAAGCTCCTCTTTTCTAGCTTCTCACTCTAGAAACGCATCGTGAGATTGGCGCTCACTTTGTTCACAAATCTCATCTGTCAGACCAAGAATTCTTCTCATCAGATCCTCATGCTTCTGATCATACTTTGCTTGTATCTCCTCCAATTCTTCTTTAACTTCTCTCATTCCCCCCAAAAAGTCATCCAATAACCCATTTATATCTTTGACAGCTTTATTCTTGGGCTTCTTGGTTGGTGGTGTTGCCAAACAATCAACTGCGCCTTCTTCATGATCCCACTCCTCCTCCCATCTCTGAACCACCCCACGCATTGAATCTTCCCTCACCCTCCTCCCATCAAGCTCTAGTTGGGCTGCCTTTTACTGTACTACCCTTCATGTAGCTGGATCAATACTGCTTTGGTCCCACCTGGTGGCGAGTTCAACCATATTCTGTTCAAACTCTCCAAACTCTTCATTGGTCCCACTCTTTCGGAGAGACCAAATATTATTTTTCTATTATAGATATATTAGTATTCCATATATATAATCTTTTTATTATTTTAATATACAGAACTTACTAACCTTATATATTTCAACAAGCTTTTTAACCCTTTGTCGGCAAGACTCTGAGCCGCGCACAATTGGCTATGGCTGCAACCTTTGAAGTATCTCTAATACCTTAGTCCATTTTGCAACCGTCCTCCCATGCCCACAGTTAATTGGGTCTGTTGTCAGAACCTGGCAGACAAGTGCAGAATCCATCCAGCCTGTCCACTTTGCTGCCCTTCCAGCTCTGCTTGCTCTATGTCTTCCACTACCTTTTGGCTGTTCAGGTAGAGCGGTAGCTGCTGCTTGTTGTTGGGTTTCTGGTACATGGAGGACCGAAGTAGGAGAATCCGGTATGATGATTTGGTCTCTTTCAATAGGAGGTCGATTCTCATCCATTTTGTTGATAATGATCGGTCGTTTCAGGGGTTGTTCTGTCGTTTCGGGAGTTTTTCTGTCTAGCTTCATTTTTTCTTTTCCATCTTTTCATACTGGTTACCCTGCCAGATTCTCCAGGTGTCTAAACCCATCTTTTGGACCACAGCCAGGTCCCCACGCAGACCTAAGTCACCAAGACAAATTAAATAACCTATGTTCCTAGATTTAACTGGCACCTAGGTCCCACTGTGCAAACCCTCTAATGTCATTATAATTCCTATGATATGTTGTAAACGAAAAACTGATATGATATCATAAACAAATCCTAAAATCCAAAAAAACTGTGTGCATTGGACCTACGGTAGTTTTCATGCCAAGCATGCTTCCCCGAAGCGTTTGGCTTAGGACAATTTATACATCCGGAACAATTTGTACTATCGTAAAGCAAGTTCACCTCTGCTTTTTCCATCGACCATTTTTTTCTCCTGGCTCCATCGGAGAGCTAACCGCGGTTGCAGTTCTTGGAATAATTCTCTCCACCCTCCATGCACTTCCGTCAGCCGTCAGTATGGATAGTGACGCAGGCCTTGCTTTATACTCTATTGCAGGAATGTCGCGCAAACGCATGCCGGACATCAGGGAATTGGGAGGGATTTTTTTTTTTTCGGCTTTAGCGAGAATCTTTTATTGTATTGTTCTGCACAATATATGATAGCAACATACTTGTGGATGCTACAAGGGAGGAGGGAGTGGTGTGCGATGTTACCTTACCCCTCGAAATATATTGGACGAAGTGGGCTGTGGAGCAATACCGGTACTGTAGCTACTTGAGGGATGAGGGGGAAGTTTGGGGCAGACTAGATGTCGATGAGGATGGAAATTGTAAGCACGTCAATTATGCAGGTGGGAAGGAAGGGAGGGAGGCCGACCGGGATAAGTTGGGTTACAGGTATTAGGCCATGTGTTTTCGTTACCGGTACTGTACTAGAGTGCCGTACGAGTATCTTGTTTTTTCGAGTCTCATACTCGAGTACCGTATCTATACTGCAAAGTTTTCGATGCATAACGAGCACCGGCTTACAAAATTCTTTCGACTAACTTACTCCCAAAATGGCAGAACCTATTAATGGCAGGCCAATGGATGCTATGTGGGGAAATGCTATGATAATTTCATTGTTTTCTTTCTTCTATGATGTCTAGGGATTTGAGGATTTCTGGTGGGAGAGTCGTCGTTTCTGACACCCTTTGATCGCACCGACGCCAGTATTTCGGGCGAGTTGAGAAAGGGCATTTATTTGTGCTATTTAGGTGTGATACGATAATACAATGTACAGTATCATGCAGCACACTTTTAGAGTAGGGTACCTGCCCTGCTGGCGCTAGTAAAAACAAATGGGTGCAAAGTCTGTGTGGAGATAGAGTTCTCGGTAGACTACAGTGGATGGGGAGGAATTAAAATGTATAGTCTAGTGGAGGAAAGAATGGGATGTTGGCTGCACAACTACATCACGACACCCTCATCACCACACCCCGTTTACCCCCATGTCCATCTTGGACAAACACCGCACACGACCTATAAATTTATTGTTCTGCCGGTATCCCTCCATTCATCCTCCCGCCCTGTTTGGTCATTACATGTTGTATGGGTAGGTGGGCGGATGGGTAGTGGTGGCCCGGGTGGGGAGGGAATGAGTCGGTATCAATCTTAAAAAGCTCACCAAGGCAGCGTGCTGCGTGGCTCCTCAGGTCTGGTCTGTTGGAAATCAATCGGGCTTGGTCGCTTCCACAGAGCAATTATTATATTATGCCACCACCATCGTCGATACAATATCGTATTGTGATCTACCTTAAATACATGGAGTAACCCCCCTCGGAAGGTCTGCCAAGACTGCAGACGCTAGCACAACCCTCCACTGCTCCCTCATACAACGAATTTTGGCCCATTCTATTTACTACACTCCCTGTGCTGCTTTCCCTGCTACTCAGGATAATTTACGCCCAGCATCATGGAACATTCGCTTATTCCGCCCCCGCTAGAGGGATACGTCCTTGACGATGCCGAGGAGTGGGAGTACTTTGGAGAGGGAGCCGCAAACGTGCTCTACCGATACATTGGAGCTGATCCGTTCTTCGTTCGTACATTCCTTCTGCAATCGCCTCCTCTTGCAGAAAACGCAGCTGATGAGGATGGGATAGGGCCCCTATCTCCTCCGTCTACGAAAACGCCTTCCTGGTGCCCCCACAACTCAGCAATTATATGCGGACCTGCACTCCCGCTGGGGCCCACTGCTGGATAACTGCCTTTTAAAGACCGAGATTGTCAAACTGGGTATTAACATAATCCCCGACCTGAACAGCATGTTTGCCATGGGCGACGGGGAGGAGGCAACAGACTGGTCCGGCCGTCCGATCAAGCCGCCGAAGCAACGGCGATTGCTGGACGATACTGAGTCGTGGGGGTTGATCGTGGAGGACATGAGTTGCGGGAACTACCTGTACAACGAGATGGAGACGCAACTGGATTCTATGCAGGAGGGTGAGGAGATAGATGACGGGCGGGACGAGGGAAGCGATGAGTGGAAGGACATGGCTATGATTGAGTTTAAGCCGAAATGGCTCGCGCAGTCACCAAATGCTCCGGCGAATTGGCTGCTCTGTCGGACGTGCGCTGTGAGACTTATGCAGTCTGCCAAGAGACAGACTAATGATTTATTGTGCGTACCAGGGGAAGAGGGCCACGATTTGGAAGAGGAAGCGCTGGACTTTTGTCCACTAGATTTATCCTCCGGCGACCCGACACGCATCGAGAAAGCCACTTTCGCAATTCTTAACATGGAGAACTCAGTCATGATAGCTGATCCCACGCCCACATCGGACGACGAGGGCGACAGCGACACTCCAACTCCACCAACCCTAAACCAGAGACTCGCAAAGTGCCTAGAAAACTCCCTCGTCACGCTATTGACAAACTTCTTCAGAACATCCCCAATCATCCCCCTCCTCACAGCGTTACAATCCCGCTTCGGCTCCCGCGGCGTGTTCACGTCCGCCACACTAGCCCTAATGGGCGAGAAAGACGTCCTCCCGTCGGAAGACGAGATCCGCAGAACTTGCCTGGCCACTGGTGAGAAGTATGAACCGGCCGTCTCAGATGAAGACGACATCTGGACCGCGATGACGCTCCGCGACTGCAGTCTATTCTTGAAAGTGTGGGTGCGCAAGCGTCGGGGAAGAGGCATGGAAGCCAAGATCGACGCCAAAGTGGGCGATTTGGATGTGAAAGGTGGGGAGGGTGGACGGGCGGTATACTGGCGGGATGTAGAGAGACGGTTGAGAATGGGAGGGTGGTATAGTGGGAAGGGGGGCACGAGGAATTGTAGGACTGGGCAGGAGTAGTACCGGTAAAGTGATCTTGTTAGCTTGGTTTCGGAGTTGGAAATGTGGATGCGGGATGTTGCGCTACGTGCATAATTGCGTGTTGTTTTTATTTTTCCTATGTTCGGGAGAACGATTGGGGTCGGGTGAGGCTGTTTCAAATGTTCGGGTTCAGTTCAAGGTGTGCGTACTTGCCTAATAGGGTTAGCCGGCGAGAAGGGACTCCGGAAGGTGTCGAAGTACGAGTACTCGAGTAGAATATAGGTTATGGGCGGGCAGGGAATATATCATGAAAGAGGAGAAATTCATGAGACAATAATTGCTCCATTCTGATTTTCTCCACTGAATACTGGCTAAGAACTATTTGGGGTTTGCCCAAGTGGGGATCGGGGAAGAGAAAAAAATGGTGAAAGAAAGGTGAAAATGGTAAAAGGGTGAAAAAAGGTGAAGGCAGCAGGGAGAGGTGAAAATGATATAATGTTAGTGTGGAACCTTGCGAATTGGATATCACCAATACGGCCAAGCGCTTAATCAGGTTCAACCTGAGGACCTTTTCCTCGGATTCAGGTAGGATATCCTTTTGCCATTTGAAGAAGGAGGAATTCAGAGGATTAAAGGTGAAGAATGATTAGTAATGTGGTTCAAAAACCTTTGCAGATGGTTTACATAGCCTTTTCCACAGCCCTGATGTGAATAGTATTCCTCAATCTGTAATGACATTCCTTGCAGGGTGGTGCAATCGGAAGACCTCTCAGAAGAATGTCCAGATAAATTCTGATTTATCCAAATTCTTTTTGAATTGAACGAAGTGACTTATTTTGGTCAGGTGATCCATGATGACCAAGATGTTGTCATATCCTTCCGATGGAGGTCTATCAGTGATGAAATATGTAGTAACAGTTTCATAAGGTAGTTCGAAAACCTAGCTCGATTTCAGCTGTTTGTACAGTACATGGTTAGCCGTTTTCGTCTCTTGATATTTGTCACAATTCTTGACATATCTTTTGATATCTTCATACAATCCTGGATAATAGAACGACCTCGTAGTGAATTCCCTGTGTTACATCATTCCTTCCAGTCCTGCAGTCCGAATATTGTGATGTTGTCTTATTATACTCGCCCTTATCATTTCTTCATCTGGAATCTATTGCTTTCCTTTGCACCACATGTTTCTATCCTTCCACTGGCATAAACTCAATACCATTAGTTTCATTTTCCTTTTTACTTCATTGAAGGCTTTACATATTGTCTTGATCAGTTTGTCACCATCATTTGCCTTGTGGATTCCTTTTTCTTCATTTGAGGTAAATTCGATAAGTTCCAGTACCTCTCAGCAAGCCTGTTGTAATAGTCTTCTTGTTGTTAGTTTAGTTCTCTTGTTATCTTTTATTTATGGCTTTTCGCTTATGATTCATGTAATTCGCGACGTCGAGTTTTCTCCCAAGGTGCAAACACCTGTGGACACTGAAAACCATCACACCCTCTTCAGTAATTACGATATTTCTTCTTAGGAAACATGCTGCCCCTAATAGTAATATGCCGATTAGCAGAGTCTTTAGACTTATGGCCTAGTTCTTAAGTCGAACTGAGTTAGCCCCAATTGTCTTCGCCATTGATCAAATGATCAGTTTTATCTATGGCTATATCTGCAAAGGTGGTCATCATTACAACCATTGTAGGTCGTCTGACTCCGATCCTTTGTAACTCCATATCCAACCCATAGATTTTCTCTGGATGACTTCCTATTAACTCGCATGAAGCTATTTCACCAGATTGGTAATTAATTCCTTGGTTGGCAACCCTTAGTTGCTGTCTGGGTAGTAGGTTTCAGTAATCATTGTAGTATTGAGAATCACCCCATGGCTACGACGTGTTCCAAAACCCAGTTGCAACACTCCGTGAAGTTCGTTGGCTTCTTTGGTAGTACCTTTTGGAGTTCTAGACTCTTATGGTGAATGTAAATATATTGGTCTCTAGTAGAGATCCTTTACCATTTGATACCATCTCTTTGTGCGAAACGGTCCCGTTACCTACGGCCTATGCCAAAGGTGTCATGTCTTTATAGCCAAATAACTCTCTGAGTAGTTGATAGAATCACTCCGTTCGACTTCCCATACCTAGCCGAAGGTCCCCTCTCATATATCCTGTGGGCAGGATCTGGTCGGACATATGGCAACGACGTATATGGTGTTATTCTAATACCTTCAATTCTGTAGTAATATAGTCACAGGACGCAACTGAGATTAACATACATGATGATGCGCGGGCCTCGTAAGGGAGCTGGAAGGGGTGTTGGAGACCAGAGATTGCGATTCCGAGTCGGGTTACCCTACTTAGGGTAGTTCTTAGGTATCGGGTTCTGGTATTCCTAACACTTATGACCTAGTTCTCAAGTTGAACTAAGTTGGACCTAATTGTTTTTGTCATTGATGAAATGATGTGTCTCATGTGTGTGTTATATCTGCGAAAATAGTCAATATCGCAACCTTTCTAGGTTATCTGACTTCAAACCTTGATAACTCCTTACCCAATCAATAGATATATTTTGGAGAATTTCCTACTGATTCGCAGGAAGCTATTCCACCGGATTGATAACCAATCCCACAGTTGACAACCTTTGGTTGCTCTGAGTAACAGGGTTTCAATTGGTGTTGTAGTATTGGGTGTTATTCCAGCAGCAACAACGTGTTCCGAAATGTAATTGTAACCCTCCATGAAGTCTATTGGCTTCTATGGTAGTGTTTTACAGAGTTCTAGACTCTTCAGAATATTAGAGGGTAGATGTGAATGTATTAGTCTCGCTGATATTCTTTACAATTCGATACCATTTCTTTGTGCAAAACGTCCCATTACATATGGCCCATGCGAAAGATATTGCAGCTTTAAAGCCTAGTAACCTTCTGAGTAGTTGACAAATTTACTCCATTCCACTTCTCAGACCTAGCCGAAGGTCTCCTCCCATATATTAAGTGAACAGGATCTGGTCAGATGGACAGTGGCAACGAATATGGTATTATTCTGACGCCTTCCATTCTGGGGTGTAATAGTCACAGGACTCAACTGAGATTGATATATATGATGACCTGCGGGCCACATCCCGGGGCCGGAGGTAAGTGTTGGAGACCAGGGATTCCAATTCCGGGTGAGGTTACTCCATTTAGGATGACTTCTAGGTATTGGATCCCTGTATTCCTAACATGAGCTCCCTCCTCTTAAGGCTTATTCTCCAATGTCTTTTGGGTATATATAAAATAAATTAAAAATTAAAAATTAAAATTAGAATATTAAATCACTAAAACCTCAAACATTAGCTTCTGTAGGACCTGATGAGAGTATGGTGAAAATCCTTCTGCATTTACTTGGCCACGGTAGGAAAACCTTTCCTTTATTGTCTATTGTCTTCCTGCCATGGCATTTCTGGGATATTACTATAGAACTCTGCTATCATTTCCCTTGCATTATTCATGCCTGTGGCCGGTTTCCTGCTGTTCCTGTCTCCAGAATATCCTTGCCATTTGAAAAAGTACAATAGTTCATGTACCTCCTGGTAGTGACCGTGTACTCTCTTTCCATTAGAGCATATCTCGCTTCTTGCAATTTTCTCTATTACCGATTGTATGTCACCCTCAATATCCTCGGGGTCTATGAGAGGTTATTGTTGCTCCGTACATACTGACTCCCGGTAAGGTTCTAAACGAGATACATGGAACACTAGGTGTATGTTCTATCGATCTGAAATGTTGAGCTTGTAGGTACAATTTTCTCATTTCTCCATTATCACGCACAGTCTATATAATTTTGGACTGAGTTTCTTTGACTTCTAAGGTTTTCAAATGTTCTTTACGTTTAATCTTACTTTATTGCAGATTTTGAAGTCTAGTTGTTTCTTGGCCTTCCCATCATTCAATTTTGCCATGGCTTGTTGTATCTGATGGAGTGACTGCCTTTCTTGCTCATAGATCATTTTTATCCAGTTTGTATAAAGTGTAGCTCTGGATTTTGCATATGGTGATAGTTCATCTATTCTGTTTATGGGTGAAATTCATAGTTTGCATTGAAATAAGTTATTCCATGTATATTAGTTGCCAAGTTATGGTAGATGTGCTCGGCTAGAGGTGTCACGAATGTGGCTTGGTGAGGAAAAGGTTTTCACGTGACATATGGTTATGAGTCACAGGTATGTTATTGTTTCACACATATGGCTCATTCGAGTCTTATAATTTGTTATGTGTGGGATTTGTGATGCTTTCCCTCATAGCTCAAATATGAGTCATGGGATGTGCACCTGATGAGTATGCCTTGTGAGTGTGCCTTGCGGGTATGCCTTGCGCATATGATTTATGTTTCACACATGACCTACTTATGAGGTTATGGGTTTCACGCATATGACTTGTTTATTGTGTTATGATTGGTTTATGAGTTTTTGCACATGACCTCGCTATGAGGTCATGAGTTTTAAGCATGCGACTATTTTGGTCACATGATTAGTTTGTTATGATTTGGTTTCGCACATGTGACCACTTTAGGTCACATGACTATGGGCGGGAAGAATACTATATAAGGAGGCTGATGCAGCCGAAGAGGATAGGTTCTTCACACTTTGTTCTAAGTACTTTTCCTACTTCTTGCACTCCATGTTGGAAGTGAGCATACTAATACTTGACCTTATTTCACTCACGATAAATACTTCATCTACTGTTACTTGTTTGTGTTTTTTGTTTCAGGCAGTGGGTTAGAAGTCGTTGTTCTCACTTAGAAGATACTTCAGTGTAAGATATCTGTGGCCTGGTCTCGGTAATCACTGAGTATAGTTTGGGCGAGGATGGTGTCTTCGACAGCCACCTCTTTCACAGTTTTTCCCCCCCCTGCACGGATGTCGTCTCCTGTTCATTTCGACTCCAACCCCTCCTCCTTGCTTGAGACAACCTGTGCAGTCTTGTCTCTTGCACCTGCTACTGAGGCCGACCCTGACCTTATCCCCACAACTATTTGGTCATATATTGCACCCCAAGGAAACTTTA